CAGCTATCAAATCCCCCCTCATTCTTCTCTTCCGCAGACTAAACAATCCCAGTTCCCTCAGCCTCTCCTCATAAGTCATGTGTTCCAGTCCCCTAATAATTTTTGTTGCCCTCTGCTGGACGCTTTCCAATTTTTTTAAATCTGTCTTGTAGTGTGGGGCCCACAACTGGACACAGTACTCCAAATGAGGCCTCACCAATGGCAAATAGAGGGGAACGATCACGTCCCTCCATCTGCTGGCAGTGCCCCTGCGTATACAGCCCAAAATGACATTGGCCTTCTTGGCAACAAGGGCATATCCAGCTTCTCATCCACTGTAACCCCTAGGTCCTTTTCTGCAGAACTGCTGCCTAGCCACTTGGTCCCTAGTCTGTAGCGGTGCATGGGATTCTTCTGTCCTAAGTGCAGGACTCTGCACTTGTCCTTGTTGAACCTCATCAGATATCTTTTGGCCTAATCCTCTAATTTGTCTAGGTCCCTCTCTATCCTATCCCTACCCTCCAGCGTATGTACCTCTCCTCCCAGTTTAGTGTCATCTGCAAACTTTCTGAGGGTGCAATCCACGCCATCCTCCAGATCATTAATGAAGATATTGAACAAAACCGGCCCCAGGATCAACCCTTGGGGCACGCCGCTTGATACCGGCTGCCAACTAGACATGGAGCCATTGATCACTACCTGTTGAGCCCGACGATCTAGCCAGCTTTATATCCACCGTAGAGTCCATTCATCCAGCCCATACTTCTTTAACTTGCTGGCAAGAATACTGTGGGAGACAGTGTCGAAAGCTTTGCTAAAGTCAAGGAATAACACATCCACTGCTTTCCCCTCATCCACAGAGCCAGTTATCTCGTCACAGAAGGCAATTAGATTAGTCAGGCATGACTTGCCCTTGGTGAATCCATGCTGATTGTTCCTGATCACTTTCCTCTCCTCTAAGTGCTTCAAAATTGGTTTCTTGAGGACCTGTTCCATGATTTTTCCGGGGACTGAGGTGAGGCTGACTGGCCAGTAGTTCCCTGGATGCTCCTTCTTCCCGTTTTTAAAGATGGGCACTATGTTAGCCTTTTTCCAGTCGTCTGGGACCTCCCCTGACCACCATGAGTTTTCAAAGATAATGGCCAATGGCTCTGCAATCACATCCGCCAACTCCTTTAGCACTCTTGGATGCAGCGCATCCGGCACCATGGGTTTGTGCTCATCCAGCTTTTCTAAATAATCCCGAACCACTTCTTTCTTCACAGAGGGCTGATCACCTCCTCTCCATGCTGTGCTGCCCAGTGCAGTAGTCTGGGAGCTGACCTTGTTCGTGAAGACAGAGGCAAAAAAAACGTTGAGTACATTAGCTTTTTCCACATCCTCTGTCACTAGGTTGCCTCCCCCATTCTGTAAGGGGCCCCCACTTTCCTTGACTTTCTTCTTGTTGCTAACATACCTGAAGAAACCCTACTTGTTACTCTTAACATCTCTTTCCAGTTGCAAGCCCAAGTGTGATTTGGCCTTTCTGATTTCACTCCTGCATGCCTGAACAATATTTTTATACTCTTCCCTGGTCATTTGTCCAATCTTCCACTTCTTGTAAGCTTCTTTTTTGTGTTTAAGATCAGCAAGGATTTCACTGTTAAGCCAAGCTGGTCGCCTGCCATATTTACTATTCTTTTTACGCATCGGGATGGTTTGTTACTGCAACCTCAATAAGGATGCATTAAAATACAGCCAGCTCTCCTGGAGTACTTTACCCCTCATGTTATTCTCCCAGGGAATCCTGCCCATCAGTTCCCTGAGGGAGTCAAAGCCTGCTTTTCTGAGTCCAGGGTCCATATTCTGCTGCTCTCCTTTCTTCCTTATGTCAGGATCCTGAACTCGACCATCTCATGGTCACTGCCTCCCAGGTTCCCATCCACTTTTTCTTCCCCTACTAATTCTTCCCTGTTTGTGAGCGGCAGGTCAAGAAGACCTCTGCCCCTAGTTGGTTCCTCCAGCACTTGCACCAGGAAATTGTCCCCTACACTTTCCAAAAACTTCCTGGATTGTCTGTCCACCGCTGTATTGCTCTCCCAGCAGATATCAGGGTAATTGAAGTCTCCCATGAGAACCAGGGCCTGCAATCTAGTAACTTCCGTGAGTTGCCGGAAGACAGCCTCATCCACCTGATCCCCCTGGTCTGGTGGTCTATAGCAGACTCTCACCACGACATCAGCCTTGTTGCTCACACGTCTAAACTTAATCCAGAGACTCTCAGGTTTTTCTGCAGTTTCATAGCAGAGCTCTGAGCAGTCATACTGCTCTCTTACATACACTGCAACTCCCCCACCTTTTCTGCCCTGCATGTCCTTCCTGAACAGTTTATATCCACCCATGACAGTACTCCAGTCATGTGAGTTATCCCACCAAGTCTCTGTGATTCCAATCACATCATAATTCCTTGACTGTGCCAGGACTTCAAGTTCTCCCTGCTTGTTCCCCAGGGTTCTTGCATTTGTGTATAGGCACTTAAGATAATTCGCTGATCGTCCTGCTTTCTCAGTATGAGGCAGGAGTCCTCGCGTCTTGCGCTCTCCTGCTCATGCTTCCTCCCGGTATCCCACGTCCCCACTTACCTCAGGGCTTTGGTCTCCTTCCCCCGGTGAACCTTGTTTAAAGCCCTCCTCACTAGGTTAGCCAGCCTGATTGTGAAGATGCTATTCCCTCTCTTCGTTAGGTGGAGCCCATCTCTGCCTAGCACTCCTCCTTCTTGGAACACCATCTCATGGTCAAAGAATCCAAAGCCTTCTCTCCAACACCACCTGCGTAGCCATTCTTAGACTTCCACGATTCGACGGTTTCTACCCGAGCCTTTTCCTTCCACAGGGAGGATGGTGAGAACACCACTTGCGCTTCAAACTCCTTTATCCTTCTTCCCAGAGCCACATAGTCTGCAGTGATCCGCTCAAGGTCATTCTTGGCAGTATCATTGGTGCCCACGTGGAGAAGCAGGAAGTGGTAGTGATCCGAGGGCTTGATGAGTCTCGGCAGTCTCTCCATCACATCGTGAATCCTAGCTACTGGCAAGCAGCAGACTTCTCGGTTTTCCCAGTCGGGGCGGCAGATAGATGACTCAGTCCCTCTGAGGAGGGAGTCCCCGACCACCACCACCCACCTCCTCCTCTTGGGAGCGGTGGTCGTGGAACCCCATCCCTAGGACAGTGCATCTCATGCCTTCCAATCGGCGGAGTCTCTTTCTGTTCCCTTCCCTCAGATGTATCATCTAGTCCACTCTCCGCATTAGTACCTGTGGAGAGAACATGAAAATGGTTACTTACCTGTATCTGCATTGCTGGTACATGGATGCTCCCCTTTCTTCTTCTGGAGGTCACATGCTGCCAAATTTCTTCACTGTCCTTCTGTCCCTGCTGTGCAGCCTGCTCTGAATCTTCAGAATGTTGTGTCCGTAGAAGCATATCCTGACGTCTGTCCAGGAAATCTTCAGTTTCTCTTATGCACCGCAGGATCGATACTTGTTTCTCCAGACCTTGAACCTTCTCTTCCAATATGGAGACCAGCTTGCACTTTGTGCAGACAAAGTCGCTTCTGTCCTGTGGAAGAAAAACAAACATGGGACATCCTGTGCAGGTAACAACAGCTGAACGCTCGCCATCCATATTACCTTCCTTCTACGAGCTTCCTCAGGAGTTGTTGTAACTACTCAGAGAAGCCTGCAAGATGTAAGCCTCAGTGGGCTCTCCCAAGGCGAACTCCCTCTCTTAGCCTCTCCGCTGTTCGCCGCTCAGCTGGTTCACAGCTGGCTGCCTTTTTATAACAGTCAGGCCCACTCAAGGCTCACCTGGAACAAAGCACTCCCAATTCACACTTTTCAAACAATCAAGCACAGTCAAACTGACAAACTGCCCTGCTGCCTGGGCATTGAACTCGCAGGGCAAAATCCTCAGCTGGGGTAAATAGCATAGTGAGTGGGACTCCATTGATTTACACCAGCTGAGGTTCTGGCCTGTGGTTCCTGGATGTGACTCACTGAGCACTGTTCGCTCCCTGTCTGGTGTCACATGGTGCATAGGGCCCATCAAGCAGTCTTTACACCGCAGGCAGCCGTGCTGATTTCCATGGCAGTAGGGTACTATTTAGCACGCCGCAGGGTGATTGATTCGGAGGAGCCAGGTGCATTCACAAGGTGGGTGCTTGTTGCATGGAGGCTCTACCAGCTGGGCACTGACTGAGCAGGCCCCTGTACTTGGTGCAGACACAGACCCCTGGTTGAAGGCAGGCTTGACCCTCTTGGGGATAGGTTTTCATACACTGGGGATGTGCCGGGCCTCTCTTAAAGCAGGCTGAAAACCCACCATTGCAATAGCTTCTCAGTCTCAGACTCTGGACAGTTGTCTGCATTTCTCAGCCTGTCTGCAGGAGGCTCTGCGCTCTAACCAAGAACTTCCTTTCCTTCACTCTCTCTCCTCTCCTTCCTCCTCCTCTTTTTCCCTTTTCCTTCCTGCCTCTCTCTTCCTCTGCCTCCTCTCCCACAGCCCACCCTGATCCTCTCTTGCCTGTCCCCCTCCCCACACTCTTTAATCTGCAGCAGACCCGTGGTTGTTTCACAGCACCTTCCGTCCTATTTCTCCAGTTCTCCACTGCAAGAGGTCCTCTTTCTAGCTTCCTTGTTGCACCAACACAGCCCCCTCCTCAGCCCTCCCCACGACGCTGTCGCGCCCATGGGAGATGACAGGCCGAGAGGTACGCTGGTGCTCACTAACTCGCTGCCACTTTCGCAGGAACCTGATGTTACTGTAGCTCTGCCTCACACCAGCCTCTCCTAAGCACGCTGAATCCCCCCCACACACACACTTCTGGCTGGCCCTGGCTGCCTTTCTTTAGTTTTGCTTTGCAGCACCATGTTGTGATGTAAGCGGTGAACTGTGAGCCCAGCTGCCATCTGGCCATGGAGCGTGTTTGGAAACCCCAGGGTGGGGGTGCAGTGACCCCTCTCCTGTTTTACTTGACTCTTTCAGGGCATTTGTGTATCTCAGCAACCTGCTGTACCCGGTGCCGCTGGTGCACCGCGTCGCCATTGTCAGTGAGAAGGGCGAGGTGAAGGGCTTCCTGCGCGTAGCAGTCCAGGCCATCTCAGGTACAGTGGGTGAGCAGCAACTGGTTTCCAGTGGCAGGCAGATGCTCTGAGCTGGCCATGCCCTAGTGCCATAGTGAGTCTGGAGAGCCAGTTCTCAGGGCCATTGCATTTCATGGAGACATATGCCCTTTCCTGAGCGTGATGAGCCCCGTGCTGTGTGCTCTGGCTGGTGACACCAATCCATTAGTCCACTAGCCTAAGCGTTTCTTCAGACCTTGCTCTCCTTGTTGCATTGTGCACAAGAACTGCCCCCCCCCAAAAAGTGGGCCCATGCAGTATTGCACACACACGGGATTTGCTGGGAGGTATGCCACTCACAGACCACCATGCAATGTCTTCCTGCTCTAGGAATACAAGGACATCCAGCTTCCTGTGGTAGGAATTGTGGGTGCTGTAGGCCAATAGGCATCACCTGTACTGTCATTAGAATTGCCACAAGAGGGCACTCATCACTCTGTGGGTTATATTGTATGCGGCTCCCGCCCCATGCAACTCTCCTGACTTCAGTGGGTTACATGTGGTGTAAATCAATTCAGCATCAGCCCCCGTGTGCATGCGTCAATACGTTCCAAGATCCATGCCTTACCGGGACAAATTGCTATCTCCTGGGGTGAGAAGGAAATTATTTTGTCCGATTCTTCAGTCCCAGGCTTCCCCATCAATTGGATCCAACCTGATCCGGAAGGACCTCTCATTCATGGTATGCAAGGGGAAGTGGGGCATGTCATAGATTTATCATGAATAGAGCCCGACCCTGGTGGAACTGACCCATCTGAATTATCAGTCACCTTGAGCAAGGTGAATCATAGATGGGGTCAGTTCCACCAGGATCTGTCTCTATTCATGATAAATCTAGGGCTGAGGAAAATTAATAGCAATGCTTTTTTCTTGCACTTTTCGTTTCAGGTACTTATTCTGCTCTGCAAGTACAACCACCATCCCCAACATGTACATGCACACACAGCTATTCTAATAGGATGCTCTTGCAAAGAAACTGAAAACTCTGCCATGTCATGTCATGGTTTTATGATCTGGGCTATCATCCGCTTAACTAGCAAGGGCATTAGTGTGGTGCTGTTGGTACCAATTTATAGATGAGTGTGCACATAGATGGCTGTTAGCTAATGTAGAATTGTTGACCATCTCTCTGAAACAAAGGCTGGAAAGCACTTCTTGCAACGTTTCCATGATTGCCTTTTGAAATTCACTGGTTTTCATCAAGTTCTGCAGTCAGTGACCACTCAAGCGTTCCTTGATGAAGAAACTCAGGGAGCAGTGTATGAAAGGTCACAATCCAGGAGACCTTGACTCTGGCTGCGATCTGCTTTGGGAGTGACTTTTTCTGGCCTTTCTGTAATGTCTTGCTATGTTTCCTCTTTCAGCGGATGAAGAAGCCCCGGATTATGGTTCGGGAGTACGGCAGTCAGGGACAGCCAAAATATCCTTTGATGATCAGCACTTTGAGAAGGTACAGTATGGCAGCCAGCCCCAGGTGAGAATATCTTTCTGTGAACTTAGCTTGCTGGGGAGCGTATTGTTTCCTGTTATTATTCATATCCTGATAACAGTCCATTCCTAATATTTTATCCTATTGGTCTCAGACTGCAGAAGAATGGGAGTGCCCTAGATATGATGCACTTTGAGATGGGAGAGGGAGTGATGACCACATCCCTCGTGGGCCTGAATGTTGGCCTCAGCCACACCAGTACAAACATTGTGACTGCAGTGGCCTGCTAGCAGAGTGGCGTGGGCACTACCCTTGCTGAATGGAACTGGAGCCTCTGGTTCATTTCACGCAGGCCAGTGAACAGCTGCTAGATGACAGTCACTCAGTACAGACCTAGGTCAGGTTTGAACAATGTCGTAGCAGCCAAAGGCTCCCTCTCTCATAACGGATCCCCTGGGCCGCTTGACCCTGTCCCTTCGGCCAATCTGTGTGCCATATGTTAACTCTGAGGCTTCACATGTTGCGGTCACAGAACTGGTGCCATTACTGTGGTAGGGGAGATAAAAGCTGCGGCCTCTCATGCCTGGCTGGGTGTCTGCCACGCAATACAGAAGGGAAGGCACACCAGGCAAGAGACGGAAAGGCTGCTCATGGCCGTTAGCAAGGTGAGCGTGCCATCAGGACCACGGCCTCCCTACACACACGGCCTCCTTGTTCCATTTCCTCTTGTGCCTGGCAGTTCCAGTCTGAGGCCTGTCCCATGCCGGGAATGTCTCGTTCGGGGACCTCGCAGGAGGAACTGCGGATTGTTGAAGGCCAGGGGCAGATAACTGACATCGGACCTTCTGCAGATGAAGTCAACAACAACACCTGTGCAGGTGAAAGGCTTGTTGTAGTCCAGGGGGAAGTGGCTTTGGGCGGGAGCTGTGTACCTAATAGGAAGCAAAAGAATGTTTCACTGCTCACTGGATTGCAAAGGGCCAGAGCCTCAGATGGGTGTGAACTGCCAGCTCCATTGAAATCAGTGCTTGTGTTGGTGTGTGGCATGCCGGACGTTCACTAGGTCTTGACAGATGCTGTCTGGAGTTTTTCTAATGTCTCTCCTCCTTCCGCAGTGACTCCAGATGATCTCCTCCTGAACAATCCAGAGAAAGTTGCTCTAGATGAGCCATTGGAAGCAGTTCTGGACCATCTGACGCTGGGCAGCATCTTCACCTTCCGAGTGACTGTTCTGCAGGCCTCCAGCATCTCTGCAGAATATGCAGATATCTTCTGCCAGTTTAAGTGAGATGTCCTCAGATCCCTCTGCACTGCTGGCATTTGTTCCCTCTTCCTCTCACTCTGTCTTTGCCTCAATCAGAAGGCTGCACTCCCCAAGGAGCGTCATGAACAGATAGCAGGGGCATGCAACCGCCCTGCCCTTGCTAGATTCCTAAATGAAATGGGATCTCGGCTACATGGCAGGGGGTCTCTGGGCAGCCCTGAGATGGAACAGGGCAAGCGCCTCGACCTAAATTGGCCACACTGTCCTCTTCGCTTCTGAATTTTTGTCCATTGCCTCATGAAAGAGGGAAAGAACCGAGAGAGAGGCACGCAGTGCAGAATGAGTCTGTTCATTCACATGGGGACTGATCCAAAGCCTGCTAAAGTTAGTAGACGTCTTTCCATGGACGGCAGTGTGCGGCGGATCAGGCCCATGGAGAGCTGGCTTTCTGTAGCAGCCAATCTAAACTTATAGAGTGCAGCCCCCTGGGGGGAGGGGAAATGAGTCATGTTCATTCAGACCTGGGGTAGTCTACGCTGGCTCCCACCTCACTCTGTCATTCTCATTTCACCCTGCTGACCACACAGCCACTGTAACAATCTTCCCCCCTTCGCAGCTTTATCCATCGTCACGATGAGGCCTTTTCAACGGAGCCCTTGAAGAACACAGGACGAGGGCCACCTCTAGGGTTCTATCATGTCCAGAACGTTAGTATCACTGCCCAGGCTGTTTTCTCTCTGCCCCGTGATATTCAGGGTCTGCCCAGAGCATAGAAACCTTCTAATCCAGTACTCCCCAAACTTTTTCTGTTGCACCCCTCCTTACCCATAAGGGAGTCTGTCCGTGTCCTGCTGGGACCCAGGGACTGTGGCCGGGAGTAGAGCCGCAACCAGGACTGGGGCCAGGGCTGGGGCCAGGGCCAGGAGTGGAGCTGCAGCTGGGGCTGAAGGTGGGAATGGAGTGGAGCTGGATTCAGGGTTGGACTGGGTGGCACTTCCTCCCTGCCCCCGTGGAGCCTGACTCGGGCCCTGCCATGCCCCCCTGAATGTTCCTTCATGCCCCCCTCATGAATTAACGGGTTGTCACATATGTCACACTTGAACAGCAGCTGGCAACAAATACATTGATTGTATTTTGGTGGGGGAAGAAACCATGCATGTGTCCTTCTGACTGTCACGGGCACTTCTTCAGCTACCCAGTGAGCAGCACAGCCTTGCCTGTGTTCATGGTTCTCCGTCACAAACACCAACAGTCCGTTTCTGGCCCACCACGTGCCCCTGTAGTCCTCTGTTTCCAAACAGGACAGGACACAGCACAGGTACGCAGTGGGAGGAGCACACAGCTACTCTCCTCCACCCAGGCCCCCTGCCCTCCCCCAAGCTCCCCCTTTTACTTCCTGGTCCTCCCAATTGTATATCCTCCCAGTAACTAAGCCAGTTACCTGTTAGCCCAGCACTGCCCCCCAAGTGTCAGTAGTCTCCACCAGTAACAGGTTGGTAGGCTCCAGTTACATCTGCAGCCTTCAGTGACCAGTGTGCTACAGCCAGCTCTCTGTCACACCCCCCTTGCTGAACTTTCCCAGGGTAGGTTTTTGTCAGCAAGTTAAGTCTCTTCTAGACAAGAGGGTGTCTGTGTGAGAGGAGAATGGCAGAGAAACCAGAGAGTGCTACAAAGAAAACAAACAAAAGACTCTCTTCAGGGGAGGGATAGCTCAGTAGTTTGAGCATTGGCCTGCTAAACTCAGGGTTGTGAGTTTAAGCCTTGAGGGGCCCATTTAGGGATCTGGGGCAAAAACTGGGGATTGGTCCTGCTTTGAGCAGGGAGTTGGACTAGATGACCTCCTGAGGTCCCTTCCAACCCTGATATTTTAAGGAGCCCAAACTTTCTAGACCCTTGTGTCTAACTTGCCATGCCCCTGAACAATCATCTCTCTCTGAAGCAGCACAGGGCCTCAGGCTAACAGCAGGCTAGCTCCGGCCTAAGACCAGGTCATTAGGGGTTGTTATCCTTCCCCCTTCTCTTCCCTGTGTCCACTCTCACATGACCACAAACACTGTCACAGCCTGGGACTGGCTTAAAGGTGAAGCCTGGAAAACCAGCTCCAGAGAGAAGAATAAAGGCCATTGTTAAGGTTCCTTCAGTCCTGCTGGTGAAGGTCATGGCTCCTATTCCTGCTCTTCATATTTATTTTGACATTATTAGCCTCTCCTTCAAGGACCTGGTATAGAAAAGCTGTAGACCCCTGTAGTAAGCCCTGGCAATATGGGTCCAGATTTTTCTGATGCTGAATGTCTCTGTGAGAAGCCTCAAGGCCTATCTCACCATTTTTCTCTGGAAGACAAACCACTCCCATGCAGAAATATTCACCCCTCCTCCTCCTCCTGCATAGATCAAAGGGCTGCCTTAGTTTTGGGAAAAATAAACCAGCAGCATTATGCCATCATTGTGTAAGTATGACATAAGCAAAAACCCATCAGAGGGGTGAGCTGAGCCTGTTTCCTTGGAGAAATACCATTTACTGGTAAGCAAAGTATTGTGTCTTAGTTGCTGGTCTGTTTGATGTCTGACCTAATAAGGCTCTGATCCATCACATGTGTAACCTTAAGAGTGTGAATAATCCAGTGGAAGTCAAATGCTTAAATCCTTTCCTGGATAGGGGCCTAGATGAATGGATTGCTGCTGTATGTCATTTTAAAGTGTTGTTGCTTGTCCCCTGCTCCCCTCTCTCTCAGATTGCAGTGGAGGTGACCAAGTCGTTCATTGAGTACATCAAAAGCCAGCCGATTGTGTTTGAGGTGTTTGGGCATTATCAGCAGCATCCCTTCCCTCCTCTCTGCAAGGACGTGCTCAGGTCAGTGTGTTGTAGGGAAGGGGTAACATCCAGAGGATGGGCTTACCCCTCTTGTTGACTCAGACTTATTTTTTAATTCTGTAACCAGAGCCTCATGTAGGATCTGGACCTAGGATCTGATAAAACCTATCCAAATCAATGGGAATCATTCCATTGGTTTCCTTGGGCTGTGGATCAGGTCTATAAATTCTGTGCAAAGACTCTCTGGTATCTACAGCTTAGCAGTACTGAATTCTTCAGCATCTCGAAGCTTTAACTAAGAATCCAGAGTTTTCCATTCCTCTAACATGTATGAAAATAAAGATGGATCTTCCTAAATTCTTGGCCTCAACATCATGTGGCAGTGGTTTCCACAGTCTAATGAGATGTCGCCTGCAAAAGTATATTGTGACGGGGCAAGGCCAGATGGCTATAGTAAAGTAGTGGGGAACAGGTATGTTAGCCCCAGGCTAAACAAATCCCTGATACCATGGTAACCAAATGGCAGTTGCTCCAGGTTCATCAAGACACCTGGGGCCAATTAACATCCTTCTAGAAAGCAGTGGCAATAGCTGGGTTGATTGGGACACCTGAAGCCAATCAAGGGCTGGCTGGAACTAGTTAAAAGCCTCCCAGTTAGTCAGTGAGGTGTGTGTGTGTCAGGAGCTGTAGGAGGAAGCCATGCTCTTGAAGGAACTAAGCAGTACAAATCTATATCAGGTGCAAGGAAGGAGGCCCTGAGGTAACTGTGAAGGAGATTTTGAGTGAGGGCTGCTGTGGGGAAGTGGCCCAGAGAATTGTACATGTCCTATTTCCAAAAAGTCAGCTACCACAGCTGCTACTATTAGGGTCCCTGGGCTGGATCCCAGAGTAGAGGGTGGGCCTGTCCCTTCCCTGATTAATCACTGAGACTGGGAGACAAGAGAGACTGCAAGGGAGGGTTGCTTCTTCTCACCTCCCTTGCTGACTTATGATGGAGTGGGAGGGATAGCTCAGTGGTTTGAGCATGGGCCTGCTAAACCCAGGGTTGTGAGCTCAATTCTTGAGGGGGCCATTTAGGGATCTGGGGCAAAAATTGGGGATTGGTCCTGCTTTGAGCAGGGGGTTGGACTAGATGACCTCCTGAGGTCCCTTCCAACCCTGATATTCTATGAAAGTGGTTCAGTAAGCTGTGACCCTTGCCTCTAAAGAGAGAAGGGCTACGTGGAGGGTCACAGTGAGCCTCTGAGGCTAGTGAAATCCACCAGGAAACACAGGAGACAAGGACAGAGCTTTGTCACAATATCCTTTTGTTGGTTTTGAGTTTTCTACCTTTCAACTTCATAGAGTGTCCCCTTGTTCCTGTGTTTTGAGGAGGGGAGCTCTGGCTCTACCTTCTCTAAACCAGTCATTTATTTTGCATACGTTCTTTCATCTGAGTCTCTTCTCTCCACAGCCCACTGAGACCATCCCGACGCCACTTCCCCCGGGTCATGCCATTGTCCAAGCCAGGTAGGCCATTGTTTTTCCCCTTTTAAAGCACATTAAGCTTCAGAAGCCACAACTTGGAAGTACATGGAAATTGGGGGAGAATTGGTCATTCCTTGCTGCACTACTCTGCGATAACACCATGGTCACCTGGTTTTGTTCCCAGTAAGGGTCTGTGTGGTGGGAAATGGTGTTTCAATAACAGGCTATGGGTTCTCATGCTGTTTTGCTTGATGCATTGCATAACGTTCTTAAGATGGCTTCTGTAAATCAAGCCACTCCACTGGGGGGGAAGGAGACCATTCCAGGCTAGCTTGTATTCGTGGTGTATTGGTTCTTTGACATGTCCATGGAGCCAGCCATGGTGTGTAGCTCTACAGAGAAACTGTTCATCTGGGGAACTCCTCAGTGTTGCAGGTGGGGGGAGCTATTTCTGTGGGAATGTTCACGAGAGAACAGTCTTGGTGGCGAGATGAACAGGAAGGCCTGATGATGCTAGCCATGTTGCCTTTTGCATTTGCTGCAGAAAGGGGCCCAGATAGCGATGGCTGAGTGTAAAGCAGGGTGCTGGCTGGAGCGGCCCATGGGCCGCACAGTGAGTGATGGCTAGCACAGGCGGTTTGATTTTTTACTGGACCAGGGTTACTGCCTTGCGTTGACTCGGTAGCAGAGAACAGGACCTCAGAAAATCTTGACAGTATCAAGAAATCAGCAGTAGGATAATTCAAAGCGCTCTTAACCTGCCAAGTCTGCTCATTAGGATCTGGTTAGCTCAGAAGCAGGCCTATCCACTGGCATGCTGAGTACCTCCTGCACTCCAGCAATCCTTCCTCATCCCTTTCCCTTCCTGCAGGGATGCCTCCATCCTTTCACTAGCCGTTGTCGTCCATGAAGAGCCATTCCTTGGTGGTCCACTAGCACTATAACCTCATTGTTGAGTATTCCACTTGCTATAGGAAAGGGTTCCTGGACTGACATTAAATTGCCTCCCGTTGGCGTGCGCATCCAGACTGCAGAATACCCATCCCGGGGTGTCTCCTCTTCCTCCACTCTTACATCTCCCTGCCTCCTTGTTAGGCAGAGGTGTGCTACAGATCTGTCCTGACAAACATTGATTTGAGTGGGACACCTGTTTAAAGCAGGTTTCAGGGTAACAGCCGTGTTAGTCTGTATTCGCAAAAAGAAAAGGAGTACTTGTGGCACCTTAGAGACTAACCAATTTATTTGAGCATAAGCTTTCGTGAGCTACATCATTTTCGTGAATTGCATCCGATGAAGTGAGCTGTAGCTCATGAAAGCTTATTCTCAAATAAATTGGTTAGTTTCTAAGGTGCCACAAATACTCCTTTTCTGTTTAAAGCAGCGGCTCGGAGAGCTCAGGAGTGGTTAAAGAGGGCTGAAGTGTGCAACATTGGCAAAGCAGACTGCATCCCCTGTCTCCACAATGTCCATTCGCTCCTGCTCTATGTCTCAACTGTTTTGCTTTGTTTGGGGTTTTCTGTTTGTTTCCCTTCCCTTCACCCTGAAGAGCATGAAAAACCCCTCCAGCTGATAAAATATGTGGTTCCCGATGTGCTAGCCAGCTCACTTCTGGATGCACTCTCTGGGCATGCTCTCTCTCTGCTGCTTGCTCAGCCACCTTGTTCCTGCTGTGAGAGAGGGAGGAGTCCAGCCCTGTGCCCTTCCCCACCCCCCTCCCACCTGTAATGAACTTGCTGTGAGAAAGGCTCTGAAACCTGGTTGGTTCCTGGACACTGCTGTGGAAGATCCCACTGCTACTCGGGTTTCTAGCCATGCCTCCCCTGGGGAATGTGTCCGTGTAATGGCTGGGGGACACCCATAGAGCTCAGTACTGAATGGCATTGCCATGCCTGTTCCCAAAGCAGTACACAGCTTTCTGAGGCTACGTGCATTTTGGCATCTGACACCTGAGTCCCAGTGGTTTTCCTCTCAGCCTAGTGTCTTGGTTTGCTGTTGCCTCTGTGTGTCCTGCTTCTCCGTTCTGTGATTTGGGGTCAGGCCTCTGGCTGGAAGTGCCTGAGCGGGGCTGGCCTTTCAGAGGGCAATGCTCAGCCAGAGCATAGCAAAAGCAGCAATCACTTCTTTTGCGTGTGTCTTGTCTCTCATATACACTGTGTGGGCCTGATCCTTTGTACCCTGGCTCCCCACATCGGCCCACTGGCTTCAGTGGGACTACGGACAGGAGTATGCACCACAGTGGGAGTAAGGGTTCACAGAATCTGACTGGGTTCATGTATCAGTGCATGTTCTCCCCTCTTCTCTTGGCATGTTGGGGGTCAGAGGTCATCTCCAGCTGGGGCTAGATCTCGGCTAGCTGCTCTCCTAGACAGTCACTGCCAGTGTCCTGGCTCTGACTGACACTCATCTCCTGAGTGGTGCAGTGAGTCCAGCTCATACTTCAGCAGCTTCTTCTTTCCTGTTTTGTAAGTCTTATTTTCTGCCCGCTGTAGTGCCAGCGACGAAGCTGAGCACCCTGGCGCGTCCCAGCGCCGGGCCCTGCCAGTGCAAATACGATCTGATGGTCTTCTTTGAGATCTGCGAGCTGGAGGCCAATGGCGAGTAAGTACCGTCCCCTCCTGAGGGCTGACCAGGGAACCAGAATGTCCCACTGTCGGGGGACCCCATCCTGGAGAGCTGTAGGGGGAATCCTACCCTGGGGAGCTCACCTGTCAGGGAAGGTCTAGACAACACTTAGTCCTGCCATGAGTGCAGGGGACTGGACTATATGACCTCTCGAGGTCCCTTCCAGTCCTGTGATTCTATGCCAAACCACAGTGTCACCGTTTGAGATGTCTCTTGCAAAATGGAACGAGTTTCTCCCCAAAGGACAGTGTGGTCCAGAGAGCTATGAGAATTGTGCTTATGTAGCTGCCTCATGTAGAACAATGAGAAAAGGAAATCAGCCAGTAATAAAATTGCCTTCCTCCCCACCCCATCAGCCAGCCACCTGGTTGATTTAATTACAGCTCTTCCAGATGAAAGGTCTACTGTATGTGGGAGCAGCTGCCCCAGTGCCAGGTGCAGGGCACATGTAGGGGGCCCTGCATGACCAGCAGCAGGCTTTGAATTGCTTGGTAGCTGTAGGAAGAGCCTGGGGAGAATCTTTCCAAAGCACACTCATTAATGAGCCTATGTGCAGCTAAGGGAACTTACAGGGGCATTCAGAACTGCCACTGTGGAAGGAGCATGGGCCTCCCAATGCATTCCAGGCAGGATTTGCCGGTGAAAGATTGACAAGATGTTGGGAGTCGGGGCAATAAGTGATGCAAAAAAAATAGCCTGCCACAAGTAAACAAATGAGGGACATGGGAGTGGCGCTAGTGTGCAGCTGGGGAGCGTGGGACAAATGCAGCAGAAAAGCATTTGCAAACAAACCACAGTTCCTTGGGCTAGTGCTTGCAATGGCTTGGCACTCGTCTAGACTCTCACCTCCAGCCTAGAGTTCTCATTTGAAGGAGTTCTTTATTCCCTGGCTGTTTGGTGTCACACTGATGGTGAAGACATCTCACATCTGCCCTGCTCCCACAGCCACCTCTTTCTGGGATTCACACAAGAGATTCGGTGACAGTGGTTCATCAATAATGTGCAGATAGGGCTGCTTTTAGATGACCCATGCAGGGGGCAGACAAAACACCATGAAACTTGGGAGAGCAGTCACATGGCGCCAAAGGGAATTCTCACAGGGATCCACTGGAAAACAAACCACAGGTTTAAAAAAAATGTTGGCACAAATTATTGGTCGGGCAATTGGGCATAACAATTAAATGTCTAAAATCACAGCCTGGTTGTGGGTAATTTGCAACTGGGACCAAGGGGCAAAACTCAGCCAATAAAGGATTCAAATACCTCTGAGTCTGGGCGCTCTAACGGCTCCACTGATGATCAAAGACATCCAGTCACCTGCTGCTGCTTCTGAGAGAAAGTCTGTTTGCTCCTTGCATGGCCTCTGTGGAGTCTGGGCCTGTGTCTGGTCTCCAGTGTGCTGGGATGGGCTCAGGACATTGGTATGCCCTTTTGCCAGCTGAAGGGCTGAGTCTAAATCTCTTCCAGTGATCAGAACCCTCCCTGCATGGCACTGGCAACACAAATGGGAATCAGAAAAGGGTGTGTGTGTGTGTGTGTGTGGAGAGCCCTAGGGTCCTGTGATGTGCACCTGTGTGAGCCCTTGTGCCCTGGGGGGTGCATGTGTGAGATCTCCAGGGACCTGTGGGGTGCGTGTAAGGGATCCCCAGGCCCTGGGGGGTACATTTGTCAGATCCCACGTGTCCTGTGGGGTGCCTGTGTCAAATTCCCCAGACCTCGGGCGGGGAGGCAAGTGTGAGATCCCCCGGGACCTTGTGGGGGGATGCGAGTGTGAGATCCCCTGGGACCTCGGACATGCATGTTCAAGATCCCCCAGGCCCTGTGGGATGTGTGGGTGAGATCCCCCGGGCCTTGGAGGGTACGTGGATGAGATCCTCCAGGATCTGTTGGGTGCATGGGTGGGATCCACTGGGCTCTGAATGGGACATGTGTGAGATCCCCCTGAACCTCAGGGGATGCGAGTGTGAGTTAGGTCCTGCTTTGAGCAGGGGGTTGGACTAGATGACCTTCTGACGTCCTTTCCAACCCTGATATTCTATGATCCCCCGGGCCTTGTTGCGTGCCTGTGTGACATCCCCTGGGCCTTGAGGGGTGCATCGGTGAGAACCCCCGGGCCCTGGGGGGTGCATGTGTGAGATCGATTGGGCTTTGAGTCGGACATGTGTGAGATCGCCCGGGACCTGTGGGTGCTTGTGTGATTCCTCAGGACCTTGGGAGATGCGAGTGCATGTTTGAGATTGGGTTCCAAAGACGATGGATCTAGACTGTTCTCAGTGGTACCAGATGACAGAACAAGGAGTAATGGTCTCAAGTTGCAGTGTGGGAGGTTTAGGTTGGATATTAGGAAAAAAGATTTTCACTAGGAGGGTGGTGAAGCACTGGAATGGGTTAGCTAGGGAGGTGGTGGAATCTCCTTCCTTAGAGGTTTTTAAGGTCAGGCTTGAAAAAGCCCTGGCTGGGATGATTTAGTTGGGGATTGGTACTGCTTGAACAGGGGGTTGGACTAGATGACCTCCTGAGGTCTCTTCCAACCCTGATATTCTGTGATTACCCCCGGGCCTTGCAGGGTGCGTGTGTGAGAACCACCAGGCCTTGGGGGGTGCATCGGTGAGAACCCCCAGGACCTGGGGGGAGCAAGTATGAGATCCCCTGGGGGAGGGGGAGGTGTGTGAGATTCCCCCTGGACCTCAGGGGATGCGAGCGTGAGATCCCCCGGGCCCTGGGGTATGTGTTTGTGAGATCCCATGGGACCTGGGGGGAACATGTGTGAGACCCCCGGGACTTGGGGAGTAAGAACATAAGAAAATAAGAATGGCCATACTGGGTCAGACCAAAGGTCCATCCAGCCCAGTAACCTGTCTACCGACAGTGGCCAATGCCAGAGGGAGTGAACCTAACAGGTAATGATCAAGTGATCTCTCTCCTGCCATCCATCTCCACCCTCTGACAAACAGAGGCTGGGGACACCATTCCTTACCCATCTTGGCTAATAAACTTAACCTCCGTGAATTTATCCAGTTCTCTTTTAAACCCTATTATGGTCCTAGCCTTCACAATCTCCTCAAGCAAGGAGTTCCACAGGTTGACTGTGCGCTGAGTGAAGAATTTCCTTTTATTTGTTTTAAACCTGCTACCCATTAATTTCATTTGGTGGCCCCTAGTTCTTATATTATGGGAACAAGTAAATAACACTTCCTTGTTCACTTTCTCCACACTACTCATGATTTTATATACCTCTATCATATCCCCCCTTAGTCTTCTCTTTTTCAGGCTGAAAAGTCCTAGCCTCTTTAATCTCTCCTCATATGGAACCCGTTCCAAACCCCTGAACATTTTAGTTGCCCTTTTCTGAACCTTTTCTAATGCCAGTATATCTTTTTTGAGATGAGGGGACCACATTTATACGCAGTATTCAAGATGTGGACATGCCATGGATTTATGTAAGGGCAATAAGATATTCTCCGTCTTATTCTCTATCCCTTTTTAAACGATTCCTAACATCCCATTTGCTTTTTTGACTGCCGCTGCACACTGCGTGGACATCTTCAGAGAACTATCCACAATGACTCCAAGATCTTTCTCCTGATTAGTTATAGCTAAATTAGCCCCCATCATGTTGTATGTATAGCTGGGGTTATTTTTTCCAATGTGCATTACTTTACATTTATCCACATTAAATTTCATTTGCCATTTTGTTGCCCAATCACTTAGTTTTGTGAGATCTTTTTGAAGTTCTTCACAGTCTGCTTTGGTCTTAACTATCTTGAGCAAAAAGAACAGGAGTACTTGTGGAACCTTAGAGACTAACAAATTTATTTGAGCATAAGCTCTTATGGGCTACAGCCCACTTCATCGGATGCATAGAATGGAACATATAAAAAGAAGATATATATACATACAGAGAGGGTGGAAGTTGCCATACAAACTGTAAGAGGCTAATTAATTAAGATGAGCTATTATCAGCAGGAGAAAAAAACTTTTGTAGTGATAATCAAGATGGCCCATTTAGACAGTCAACAAGAAGGTATGAGGATACTTAACATGGGGAAATAGATTCAATATGTGTAATGATCCAGCCACTCCCAGTCTCTGTTCAAACCCAGGTTAATGGTATCTAGTTTGCATATTAATTCAAGCTCAGCAGTTTCTCGTTGGAGTCTGTTTTTGAAGCTTTTCTGTTGCAAACTTGCCACCTTTAAGTCTGTTACTGAGTGGCCAGAGAGGTTGAAGTGTTCTCCTACCGGTTTTTGAATGTTCTGAGTCCTGATGTCAGATTTGTGTCCATTTATTCTTTTGCATAGAGAGTGTCCGGTTTGGCCAATGATTTAAAGGACAGGTTACAAACTATAGTTAATAGTTCTGCAATTTCACATTTGAGTTCTTTCAGAACACTTGGGTGACTGCCATCTGGTCCTGGTGACTTGTTACTATTAAGTTTCTCAATTAATTCCAAAACCTCCTCTAGTGACACTTCAATCTGTGACAATTCCTCAGATTTGTCACCTATGAAAGATGGCTCAGGTTTGAGAATCTCCCTAACATCCTCAGCCGTGAAGACTGAAGCAAAGAATTCATTTAGTTTCTCTGCGATGACTTTATCATCTTTAAGTGCTCCTTTTGTATCTCGATTATCTAGGGGCCCCACTGGTTGTTTAGCAGGCTTCCTGCTTCTGATGTACTTAAAAAACATTTTGTTATTACCTTTTGAGTTTTTGGTTAGCTGTCCTTCAAACAGTATGTGTGTGAGATCCCCCTGGACCGTGGGGTGGTGGGGTGAGATCATTCAGGCCCTGACATGGAGAGGAGCACCTCCATCTCCCATCACATCTCCCTGATCTTCCCTTTTTCAGTTACATTCCTGCTGTCGTTGATCACCGTGGAGGGATGCCGTGCCATGGAACCTTTCTGCTCCACCAGGTATGGTCTTTGCCCTGCTCCTTGTCCCTGCGCCGCCCCACTGGCCCATCTTCCTAGTCCCCATAACAACTGGGTGTTGGGCTGTTGGTTTTAACCACTGCCCTTTTCTCTCTGGCATGGTGCTGGCAGGGAATCCAGAGGAGGATCACCGTGACGTTAGTGCATGAAAACAGCAGCCTTGTCCGCTGGAAAGAAGTGCGAGAGCTGGTTGTGGGTAAGCAGAGTTGCTGGTTGGCAGGGTCTGAGGAGACGCCTCACTCCTGCGTCCTCACGCCTGTGCACTCTCTCCCGTTCCCTTCTCTCCCATAATCTCTTCTCCCTCATACTTTATCCAGGCTCCCGCTCCTCCTACTCTGTCAGGTCTGTTGTGGGAAATAATGCAGATGATCGCTGGGGGCCAGCTGGCACCCCCTTTACTCATGCTCAGCAGCACATCACTAAGCAAGGCGCCCCCTCCTTGAGTACCAGGCTACCCCCAGGAGCCAAGGCTGAGCTGCCAGGCCCTTACCGCTGCAGCAGGGGTCCCGGGGCAGATCCTCAGCTGCTGTCAATGGTCAGAGTTCCATTTACTTCAAAGGAAATTGCCACCAGCTGAGGCAGTGCCCCCATTGTTCTTACCAGCATCCTGGATTAGACTAGGGGACCTCTGCCAGCTCTTTGAGCCCCCATTTGGGGAAGCGGGGCCCTCTCAGTGCCTGCTCTCCCCAGGGCATAGTGGAGGATAAATTGGATAGAGTCCAGCGAAGGGCAACAAAAATGATTAGGGGTCTGGAACACATGAGTTATGAGGAGAGGCTGAGGGAGCTGGGCTTGTTTAGCCTGCAGAAGAGAAGAATGAGGGGGGATTTGATAGCTGTTTTCAACTACCTGAAAGGGGGTTCCAAAGAGGATGGCTCTAGACTGTTCTCAATGGTATCAGATGACAGAACGAGGAGTAATGGTCTCAAGCTGCAGTGGGGAAGGTTTAGATTGGATATTAGGAAAAACTTTTTCACTAAGAGGGTGGTGAAACACTGGAATGCGTTACCTAGGGAGGTGGTAGAATCTCCTTCCTTAGAGGTTTTTAAGGTCAGGCTTGACAAAGCCCTGGCTGGGATGATTTAACTGGGAATTGGTCCTGCTTTGAGCAGGGGGTTGGACTAGATGACCTTCTGGGGTCCCTTCCAACCCTTATATTCTATGATTCTATGAGGAGAAGGGGCAAGGAGCCTCTCTCATTTCATAGCCCATGTAAAGGCCAGACTGTGCTTTGGGGAGCTCAGGACTGGCTCCATCCATGTGTCCTTACGGGTAGGGGAGGGGACAAGACGGAAGGACATGCCTCTCCCTCTCCGTGGCCTTCAGATGCTACTGGCCTTTGGGGCTGGCCAGCCATGTGGAAGGGAGTGAGGCAGACCTACAGAGGGGTGTGGTAGCAGGCATACAGAGCTCCTCCTAGTGGTCCCCCTGGAGCCAGGCACCCTCCCACCCATGGGGATGAGCCTGGGCAATCTGGTCTCTAGTTCTAGCAGGAGGGGATGGATATAGAGCCTGTCCCAAGGGGCTGAAAGAGGATATGATGCTGACATTAAGCATCTTCCCCTGAGTCTCACTTTTACCATTTACCCTGCTATGCAGCTTAGAACAGTGAACTGTCCCCATTGAGCTGTGCCCCACCCCCAGCTGTCCATCCTCCAAATGGTGTGTTTTGATGTGTGTTGGCAGGTCGGATCCGAAACACCCCAGAAGGGGACGAGTCTCTCATCGACCCCAACATCTTGTCTCTGAACATCCTGTCGTCTGGATACATCCACCCTTCCCAGGATGATCGGTGGGTCTGGCCTGGCCTTGCCGTCTCTTCATTTTGCCCTGCTGTCCTGTGGTGCTAGGCAATGTCTGGTCCAGTTAGGTTGGCAAGGGCTGTCTCTGTTCATGAGGGCTTCTCTCCCTCCTGCCCCTAAGGTCTTGCCCATCAGGGTCTTCTTGCTGCTGCAGGACCACTTAGGGACGGTGGTTGTGCTGAGTCTGCATTTCAGAGGGCACTGGCAGGATGGCAACATGGCTGCACCACAAGGCAGGAATAGTGGAGAATGTAAAGAAGCCCAGGGATTTGAGGTGGGCTTCCCAAATCCCCTCCCACACACAAACACACACTCTTTGATGGCATCTCAGAACATTATCTAGCTGACAGCTTTCACCCGAGGCTGCTGAGGCAGATCTTCCTTGCACTGCCCACGGCTGCCATTGGCATGTGCCAAAGGAGGCCTCACCTCCCAGTGACATTTTCAAAATATTACACCAACATCAAAGGAGTCTTTGGATTTTCACCCACCCCTGGATTTTAAGATGCCATCCCCGCCCCTGCGTTGTAGCAGCATTAACCAAGGGTGGTGAGGCCCCATGGCCCTACATTCAACTGATAGGCAATGTTGTATGCAGCTCTCTTTAGATGCTGAGACTGTCACCTAGGCTTCTCTGAGACCCAGTATAGCTGTGTGCTGCAGTGTCAATCAGATGCCTAGATGCACTCTGCTAGTGCTGATGCTTTTGGCTAAGTCTTAAGGGGGTGGCAGCAAACACCAGAACTCGGAACCCTAGCAGCAACCTTGGAATGAATAACCAGTCAGTGGTGGATGCGGAGCGACTGATACTGGCACCACAGAGCAGAGCTCCAGGTCACTGCTGCAGCTCAGGGCAGCCCCAGCAAGAGGTCTAGCCTGGAGAGCTGTCACGGGTTCACGCTGGGATGGATTCTGGGTGGAAGTGGTTGTACAGTGTGTTTTAGGACAAGATTGGGAGCACATTCAGCAGGAAGCAGGGGCCATCACTAGTCACAGTGCTTGCTTGTAATTCACATAGAGGAGATGAGAGATCATCACTGGCAACGTAGGTAACATCCGCATTGTGTGTGGCCATTGTGAGGCATTGCACTGCCTGTCCTTGGAGAGTGGCAGGAAGGAAACTGAGCTTGTCCCTGTCACAGCTTCCTCCCTGCATCCTTGGGGATGTCTCCTCTTCCTTCCTCCTGCCAGGGCTGCCCTGCCTATGGGCACCTGGTGTAATTGAGGGAATACAGTTTAAAACCCAGAAAGCTCAGTACAAGAGAAATGGTCAATCCCACTGTGACCTGTGTGCTTGCTTACTTAACCTGCCTCACCCAGCAATGCCCACAGGCCAGCGCTCTGCCCCAGGCCAGCAGAGCCCTTCGCCAGCTGGGTGGATGACCGAGGGGGCAAGAGCAAGACAGCAGGTAGCTGGAGTGAGTACTTGAGGGGAGTGGGGAAGGTCAAGGGTGGGCCAGGCGTAATGTGAGTCATGTGACAAGCAGTTGCGTCTGAAGAGTCATTGAGCAGTGAGTGACTCTGAGGAAAGGATTGGATCAGGGCAGTAGAACAGGCTCCACTACATGCTGTCAGATGCCATGCAGGTGACGCTGTGTGAGGGTGACAGCAGCAGTATTCAGAGGGAGCAAGGACTCAGAACAGCAGCACTGCAGCACCTCTCTGGGTAGCTCAGATCGTTTGTTCCTGCCTCTCCTGAGCAAGACAGAAATTGATACAAACAAACAGTGTAATAGACGCAGCATTTCTCAACCTTTTGTTCTTCTTCGAGCTTGTTCACGTCCATTCCATATTAGGTGTGCGCGCGCCGTGTGCACAAGTGTCGGAAACTTTTTCCCTTAGCGGCTCCCGTCTGGCTGGTGGGGCCCCCTGAGTGGCGCCACTGCGCCGTGCATATATACACCTGCCGCCGACCCCCTCCGGTTCCTTCTTACCGTCCGTGGCGGCATTGGAACAACCTCTCTCTTGTATGAGAGCAGTCCCTTAGCCTTTCTCATAGATAGCTGTTATCAGTTAGTTCGCATACCTTTGTCGTGGACACTTAAGTGATTAGGTGCTTGGACGCTTCCAGCACCCGCCCCGGAGCATGCTGCAGGCCCACAGGTTTAAGGCTTGTGCCACGTGCCGCAAGCCTATGCCAGTTAGTGACCCCCACGACTCGTGTCTACGTTGCCTGTGGGAAGAACATCAAACTAAGCAATATAAGATTTGCAAGGCGTTCAAGCCACGAACAAAAAAAGAAAGAGACTTTTGTTTGAAGCAGTTGTTGATGGAAGCCGCATTGCAGCCAGGCCCGCAGTGCCCGACGTCAGCTCTGGCTTCCTCGGTGCGTAGTGCCCCGGAGACATTGGGAGACCCAGCACTGGCTAAACACCGAAAGCTGTCGGCCCCAGAGCACCAGAGTAGGCCCCGGCACTGCTCGTCCTCCCCGGTGCGGCCCATGGTGCAGCCAAAAGGAAGGCGCGGACGTTCCCCGCGTCGGAGGCCGGCGCCTTCGAAGGCCCCGAGCGCCGATAAGAGCAGGAAGGCCGCTGTACTGGTGCTGGCACTGGTGGCTTCAGCACCACAAGCCCCACCGAGCCCAGGCCTAAGTGAGCTCAGTGCAGACGATGGGCTCGAGGACTTAATGGATCAGCCCTCCACGCCTGGCCCCTTTGAGGTGGCAAAGGACCTCAGTGTGCTGTCGGCGACGAGCTCTGTCCCAGACAGGGAGAATCCTCCAGCACCTATGCCATGGGAGCCGTCGAGGGGTAAGCTGCCAATGGTGTGCAATTCAAGGACATCGTCCCGGCATCGCTCCCAGAGTTGGTCCCGGTCGAGCTCCACGTCTGTGGACTCCCAGTTATCCGCGGCTCAGAAGGAAGTCGCAGTACCAGGAGTGGGTTGGCGCAAGGAAGTAATGGAAGAGGCATGATGCTCTCCGACACCGATTAGAGACCAGCACCAGGAGGAGTTGAGACGGCCCTCGCCAGAGGACTCCCGCAGATGCCGATCCCAGTCCCGAGAACGTCGGTCCCATTCCCAGGGATTTTGGTACCAGTCTCGCTCCCATTCAGTTAGGAGCCGCTCGTCAACCTCCCGCCAGCACAAATCGTCAGCACCGCAGTGGCCTTCGCGGTCGGCGTCGCCACAGTTCGGCACCGACTCCAGCCATTACAGTTACTTGCACCATGCTCCGGACAGCAAGGACCTTCAGACAGGGTGGCACCCCCAATGGGGGCCACTAGGTCATTGGCCCTTCTGGACACCTTGGGCCTATCAACAGTGCCAAGGGGCCCCATCCAGGGTGGGCTACTCGGTGCAGCGGTCTCGGTCCCCGCATCAACGCCTGATGGCGCCAGAAGCTACAGTATACGGGCCTCCAGCATCCCCCCAGGATAAACCAGAGAGACCAGCACTGAGTCCAGTACCACCCCACGATCTCCCGCGCCAGCCCGAGCTGAAGGCCCCTCCGAGGGGGGGAGGGTAGCTGGAGGACCAGCCAGAGGGGGTTTAGCAGCTGCTAACCTCCTCGTCATCCCCGGATAAGGTGGTGACGGGAACAGCAGTGTCTGACCCTCCACCCATAGACCACAGAGCCTACCAGGAGCTACTGCGTAGGGTCACCCAGAACTTGGGGTTGCAGGTCGAGGAGACAGTTGAGCAGGAGGACCCCATGGTGGACATTTTGAGCCCCGAAGGTCCATTTAGAATAGCGCTCCCGCTCATTAAGACCGTCCAATCGAATTATAAGACTATATGGCAGACCCCAGGCTCCAGGGCTCCAACGGCCAAAGGTGTGGAGCGCAAGTACTTTGCCCCATCAAAGGGCTACGAATTCTTGTTCTGCCACCCAAGTTCATGCTCCCTGGTGGTCTCGGCAGTGAACAAAACGGAGCAACATGGACAACTGGCCCCGGCACCTAAGGCCAAGGAAGCAAAACACCTGGACCTTTTTGGCAGAAAGATGTACTCGTCAGGGGGCCTTCAGTTGAGGATTGCGAACCAGCAGGCCATCCTCAGCAGGCATAATTTTAACTCCTAGGCAGTGGTGGGGAAGTTTAAGGACAACCTCCCGCAAGGTTCCCAACAGGAGTTTACGGCCCTGGTGGACAAGGGCAAGTCAGTAGCTAAGACCTCTCTCCAGGTCTCCCTGGATTCAGCAGATGCAGCGGCCAGAACAGTTGTGTTGGGGGTGGTTATGAGGCACTCAGCGTGGCTGCAGGAGTCAGGCCAGCCACCTGAGGTCCAGAGTACACTTCAGGATCTCCCCTTTGAAGGGTCTGGGCTCTTTTCGGACCAGACAGACGCGAGGCTGCATAGCCTCAAGGACTCGAGGGCTACACTTAAGTCACTGGGTATGCACACCCCGGTGATGCAGAGGAAGCCCTTTAAGCCACAGCCTCCCCCTCAGCACCAGTACCAGCCTCATCATAGGCATGAGCCTTACTGTAGGCGAGGCAGGGATAACAGGTGATGGTGCAATAATAACAACAACAATAATGCGCCGGGTCAGAACCAAGGTCAGCACAAATCCCAGCCGGGCAGTAAGCCAGGCTTTTGAAGGTGCACTCAAGGACAGCATACCAGACCAGTCACCGGATCCGTCCCCTTGTTTCCTGAGCTGCCTGGCCCGTTTCTCCTGCGCGTGGTCCAGCATTACATCGGACCATTGGGTCTTACGCACGGTACAGAACAGGTACTCGCTGCAATTCTCTTCCCTCCTACCCCCCTTCCCCGTCCCTCTTCAGGGACCCCTATCACAAGCATCTCCTAGAGAAGGAGGTTCGCTCGCTGCTAGAGGCGGGGGTGGTAGAGGCGGTGCCGCACGATCTAAGGGGGAAAGGGTTCTACTCCCGGTACTTCCTCATCCCCAAGGTCAAAAGGGGCCTTTGTCCCATTTTAGACCTGCACAGGCTCAACAAGTTCCGGGTCAAGGCCTGGTTCCGCATGGTCTCTCTGGGCACCATCATCCCTTCCCCGGATCCAGGGGACTGGTACGCTGCCCTCGACATGAAGGACACATACTTTCATATTGCCATCCACCCAACACATCGGCAGTTTCTGCACTTCACCGTGGGCCAAGAACATTACCAGTTTGTGGTTCTCCCGTTTGGTCTAGCCGCAGCCCCATGGGTGTTCACAAAATGCATGGCAGTGGTGGCGGCCTTCTTACTGAGGCAGAGAATCCGGCTGTACCCATACCTTGATGACTGGCTCCTGGTGGGTTGATCTGAGGCGGAAATGCGGGGCCATGTGGAGGTGGCTTGGAGATTGTTCCGCAAGCTGGGGTTCCTGGTCAATGTCCCCAAGTCCACTCTCGTGCCCACACAGAGAGTGGAATTCATAGGGGCAGTCTTGGATGTGGTGCGGGCCAGAGCAAGCCTTCCAGTATCCTGATTCTGAGCTATCCAGCAGGTGGTGGCCTCACTGCGCCAGTTTCCAATGACTGCTGCCTGCGGCTGCTGGGCCACGTGGCAGCATGCAGGCACGTGGTCAGGCATGCCAGACTAAGACTCAGGACTCTGCAGGCGTGGCTCGCTCAGGTGTACCGCTCAGGCAGGGACCCCCTGGACTTGGTAGTGACAGCCCCAAGGGACGTGCTGGACTCCCTGCTGTGGTGGCAGTCCCAGCCTGTGGTTTGCAAAGGCATCCCCTTTGCCGCCCCACAACCAGACCTGATGCTGGTGACGGACGCATCACACCACGGATGGAGGGCTCACCTGGGGGACCACATGACGCAGGGCTTGTGGTCCGGAGCAGAGCGTTTGCTCCATATCAATGTGAAGGAGCTCAGGGCGGTTCGTCTTGCCTGCCAGACTTTTCACACCACTCTGAGTGGTCACAACGTGACAGTTCTGACAGACAACACTACTGCCATGTTCTTTTTAAACAAGCAGCTGTTCCTCACCGCTCTGTCGCAAGACTCTCCTCCTCTGGGACTTTTGCATAGCCCATGCCATTAACCTCGAGGCGTCATATCTCCCGGGGGTGCAAAACAAGCTGGCGGACTACTTCAGCAGGTCGTATAGCATGCATGAGTGGATGCTAAGAGCGGATGTTGTGCTTTCGCTCTTCCGCAAGTGGGGGTTTGCCCAGGTAGACCTGTTTGCCACCAGGGCCAATGCCCAGTGTCCGCGGTTCTGCTCGTTCCAGGGCCACAGCCCAGGCTCAGTCGCAGACGTGTTTGCGATCCCATGGGGAGGGGGCTTGATGTATGCTTTTCCCCCGCTCCCCTTGGTACACAAGGTCCTGCTCAAGGTACGCAGGGAGAGGGCGGCGGTGGTCCTCATCGCCCTGGCATGGCCCCGCCAGCACTGGTACACAACACTCCTTGAGCTGTCGGTGGAGGCCCCAGTAGTCCTGCCCCCAACCTCATCATGCAGGACGGCAGGCGGCTTCTCCACCCCGACCTGCAATCACTACACCTGACGGCGAGGAAGCTCTGTGGCTAAACGCCTTGGAGAGCCAGTGCTCCCTTCCTGTGCAGCAGATTCTGCTTGGCAGTAGGAAGCCTTCTACCACGGCGACCTATATGGCCAAGTGGAAAAGGTTCTCGTCTTGGTGTGAGCCCCGACAGGTGCGGCCGGGCCAGGCCCCGGTGCAAGCCATCTTCGAGTACCTCCTGCACCTCAACCAGCAGGGGCTGGCCCTGTCCTCACTCAGAGTGCACCTGGCGGCCACCTCCGCCTTCCATCCGGGGTTTTCGGAGGGCTCAGTGTTTTCCCACCCAGTGGTGGGACGGTTCCTTAAAGGATTGGAGAGGATGTTTCCGTACTCATGCCCCCCCAGTTCCTCCTTGGAACCTTAACTTGGTCCTCTCTAAGCTCATGGGACCCCCGTTCGGGCAAATGAAAGGTGACATTTTTGGTGGCCATTACCTCAGCCAGAAGGGTGTCTGAGCTGAGGGCTCTCACCTCTGAGCCACTGTATACAGTGTTTCACAAGGATAATGTGCAGCTCCGATGGCACCCCAAGTTCCTCCCTAAGGTGGTCTCGCAATTCCATTTGGGCCAGGACATTTGTCTGCCAGTGTTTTTTCCAAAACCCCATACAGACCCAAGTCACCGCAGCCTACACACCCTGGATGTCCGTTGAGCACTGGCATTCTATTTGGAGTGCACCAGGCCCTTTCGTAAATACGTGCAGCTGTTTGTGGCTGTAGCCGAGAGGATGAAAGGCCTCCCAGTGTCAGCGCAGCAGATCTTGTCTTGGATTACAAGCTGCATCCGGACGTGCTATGAGCTCGCAGGTGTTCCAGCCCCGGCGGCCACGGCCCACTTGACCAGGGCGCAAGCGACTTCCACAGCTTTCTGCGGCAGTTGGCAGAGTGGTCCTCCAATCAGTTGTTCCGTGACTCCTACCCTCCTCCAGAGGTAAGCTTGTGATTCACCTAATGTGGAATGGACGTGAACAAGCACTCGAAGAAGAAAGAACAGTTACTTACCTTCTCATAACTGTTCTTCGAGATGTGTTGTTCACGTCCATTCCACCACCAACCCTCCTACCCCTCTGTCGGAGTTGCCAGCAAGAAGGAACTGGAGGGGGTCGGGCCGGCAGGGGTATATATGCACAGCACAGTGGTGCCACTCAGGGGGCCCCGCCTCCCCGACAGGAGTCTCTAAGGGAAAAAGTTTCTGATGCTGGTGCACGCAGCGCATGCACACCTAATGTGGAATGGACGTAAACAACACATCTCGAAGAACAACAGTTACGAGAAGGTAGGTAACTGTTTTATACCAAGGACCAGCTTGCTGCCTTCCTAAATTGTATCAGGGAAATCTCAGGGCCAGTGCCGTCCACGGACCAGTCATTGAGAAACAGTGTAACAGACAGCTGGAAGAATTAGGGCTAGATCCTGAACTACTATAAATCAGGACCATTGATTTCATTGGAGCCACACAATTTACACCAGTTGGGGATCTGACTCAGTGACTCCAGTGGAGCTAGGTCTGATTTGCACCAGCTGGGGATCTGGCCGATTAAATCTGACAGCACTGTGTGACTGGACCCATTCTGCAGTGCTCATTCTTTTGCCCTGCTCCACACATGAGAGCAATGCAGTGGCACCTTGGGAATTTCTCCCTCTTTTTCCTCCGCATTTGAGCACTGCACGCTAGAAGAGCTCATTCTGGCCAGGGGATTTCAGCCCTGGCATGGAGTTCTCCAGAGAGTGAAGAGTTGCTTGTCACAAGACTGTTTACCAAACAAAGGGGGAGGTGTTGCTTACAACTTGAGGGACCCAGGGCATCACGTTTGTATCTAGCTTTCTGTCCCAGAATCTAAACTGGGTGTGTGAAAATGCACTACTCTCTCCCAGGGTTGCTAGCCTTGGATCACTGCCTCTGTCCACAACCGGGAACAGAAGCCCTCAGTAGCATGGGCAGAAGGGGTGGTGCAGGGAGGAGATGGGGTAACTGGAACATGGGGAAAGGAAAAGTGGATTGAGTTTCCACAGGACAGTGGAAGGAAACATCTTCACCAATTCCCTTTGCTTCAACCCTGCATGGGCTTTTTGCTTGGTTTGGCCCTAGCAATGGGGAGACCCTGGATGTAGGGACAAAGGGAGGAGAGCCAATGGAATGGGATGCATCTAATCCTCTTTCTGAACTGCTTTTGCTCCCTGCTTTGCTCTTGTATGTCCTTCAGTCTTCATTGCAGCAAGCAGGCCCTGGGACCATCCCCTAGGCTGCCCTTCTCCCCTACCACTGATGTTTCAGGGTAAGTTGTTCCTGATGAGAACCAGGAAAGGCCTCACTGTGGAGGTGTTAGCTAGGCCCTCAAGGAATTGGCTTTAGCCTGTAAGCGCCAGCAGCCCCAGACTCTTCCCCCACAGGCTCAGGCATGCTTTAGGTTTCCATCTGCACATAGCCCCTGCAGCTAGGATTGTCACTCCTGCTCCTCACCCTAGCCAGACGAGATAAGGATGTTTCTTGTTCGCACTCTGTCACCACCGTCAGGAGCAGGATCTGGTCTCTTTCTCTTTACTACTCCCCAGGCCACGGCCATTGCCCCTCAGCACGCTGCTCACACATCCACGCGTGCCTGTAAGGTGTCTGGCCCCTTGGCTGTAACCCTGCCACCCTACATGAGGCAAGGAAGGGCAGTGGGGGCTGTGTGAAGGCATCAGGCTTCTGAATCACTTCCTTACAATGCTGCTGCTGCTGCCGTCCATTTGAACCCGCACTAACCATGTGATTGTTTTGTGTTTTTGCAGGCAGTTTCTTGATTCGGATATGCCTAGGTAGTATTTGTTTCCCTTGCGGTTTTTTCTTCACTTCCTCTCCCTTCCTTGGCACTCTTCCTCCCCCTCAGAGACAGCATTTTAATTTCCAGACACTCCATCCACTGGCTTCCCTTTCTCTTCCACATCTTTGGGCTGCTCTTTCGTTATGTTTCTGTCCCTTGGGCTTCCCTGTTTGTTTTGGATCGCTCTCTCGTTAGCCTCTGTTCCTCTGGCTGGCTTTTCCTTCAATTTTGCTGCTGTTGTAACTTTGTGACATTTGGCAAAGACCATCCTTCCCCCTCTTGTACCCTCTCCCAACTTGGGCCCAGGAGCATTTTGGGGAGCTGGGAGCTGACCCAGGCTGCGTGAGAGGCTGGACTGCAGTGTATGGATGGGAAGGACACTTTGGAAAAGATACTGTATGAAAGATAGAAAGAGGAGAGAAATGGAAGCAACGTAGCTGAGTTTGGGAGCCAAGTACAAGCTGCATGTAGAAGGAAGGGACATAACAGGTGAAAACCTGGCTCCACTGAAGTTGGTGGGAGTTTTGCCATTAACTCCAGTGAGGCAGGATTTCACCCAAGCTTGTTATTCTCTGGCCTGCTTGACAGAATTTCCACCAAAGAAACCTCAGTGGAGTCTCATATTCACTGGCTTGAATTCTCAGTTTTGCTAAGGCCCCTTAACATCCCTCTGCAAATTTAATGGGGCCTCAAAGTGAACACCCATTTTAAGGCCCTTTTCCATTGCCAGATTAGTATAACGGGGCCTTGGCATAGCTGAAAATCAGGCCCCAAGGTTTTTAGGGTCAGAAAGGATTATTATGATCATCTTGTCTGACCCTCTGAGTGCTGAAGGGAGATAACTGGCCAGATCCTCAGCTGGTGTAGAGAGCATGACTCCATTGCAGGTTTACACCAGCTGAAGAGCTGGCCCCTTGTTCTTTGGACATTACCAGGGGAAAGTGTTTGGAACTGTAAGTTAATGCACTCTCTTCTCAGAGTCAAATCTTGATACGATTGCAGGCTGCAGAGAAACTGGGGTTGTCTTATTACTATGTAATAGTTTTACTATTGAATTGACTTCAGTGGAGCTGGCCAGTTTGCACCAATGGATATCTGGCCCATTGAAGTCAATGGAGTTGTGCCAATTTATACCAGTCGGGAATATGGCCCCCTGTACATGCATACACACAAGAAGCAGTGCTAAAGTATGTTCAGCCGTAGTTCTCTTAACTTTTGAATGCTCAACTGTGCATAATTGTCAGATAATTTGGGGGGTTTTTTGCACGTAATTTCTTTTTGTTTAAAGAAAAAGAATAAAGAAAAGTTCCCAGTTCCACAACTAATGGGCACCAGCCAGCAAAGGGCAACTGGTGCCTGTCAATATCATTAATAAACTGCTCACTTGTGGGGAGGGGAGGAGGAAAAGCAGAGATGTTGAGGCAGAGGAGAGGCTATAGGGAAATAGGTGCACAGGGGAGACTGCGGGGGATATATAGATATGTGTAGATGCTATATATACACCATTGCGATGGGGGTGCTGGAAATACAGAGGCAGGCAACAAAAAGTAGGAAGAGGCAAAGAGGAGATATGAGACTATAAAAAGCCAAAAAATTGTGGAGAAGGGACCCTTGATTGACCTTCTTGCTCTGTCTCACGCTTCCCATGTTGAGAGAGACAAGGTGGGTGAAGTAATATCTTTTCTTGGACCAACTTCTGTTGGTGGAAGGTAAAAGTCCCTGAAGAATTCTGTGACGGTTGGAAGCTTGTACCTTCCACCAACAGAAGTTGGTCCAAGAAAAGATATTACTTCGTGTATCTTGTCTCAATCATATGCTGGGACCAGCATGACTAAAACAACACAACAAACTTCTCATTTTGTTACGTATCAAAAGACAATCGCAAGTTAGTAGCCATGGGAGGATGGGATTGTGACATTACCCAGGGTACAGTCTGGACTGTTGAACAGCTGTGTCCCCTCAATTCTCTAGCCTGGGGTGCCTTTTACATTGCTTCGCTGTGAGTAACGACTTCTGGTCTGCTCACACAGAGCCCCCAGCATGTAAATCACTCCCAGTTTTACTGTGTGAGTGATGTAGACAGCCACTCTTGAATTACAGTGCAGGGTAACACCAGCAAATTCTCATTCCCAGACTTTCCCGCAGAAATGTGCATCTTGTGCTGCCCAGCACCCTCCTAGACAACACAAGCTCATATAAAGTCTGTCATTTATTATTAGAAAATGATATGCACAAATCCTGTTAACTTTCCCAGACACTTCAGTCCAAGCACACTGGTGTAGATAAAACACTAAAACAAGTTTATTAAGTACAGAAGGATAGATTTTAAGTGATTACAAATAATGAAGCATAAAAGTCAGAATTAGTTACAGGGAAATAAAAGGTAAAACACAACAAACACCTAATTTAGCTTGTTAAGTTAATTCAAAGCACTAATTTCTCACCATATGCTCCTGCAGTCTTACTCACTGAACTCCTTTCAGAAGCATCTCTTCACAGTCTAATGATGCTTCCTTTGTCTTTCAAGTGTGTGTTGATGGCCGTGAGTAGCTGTCAAGGTTCCTTCCCCACTCTGAACTCTAGGGTACAGATGTGGGGACCTGCATGAAAGACCCCCTAAGCTTATTCTTACCAGCTTAGATTAAAAACTTTCCCAAGGTACAAACTTTGCCTTTGTCCTTGAACAGTATGCTGCCACCACCAACCGTTATAAACAAAGAACAGGGAAAGACCACTTGGAGACGTCTTCCCCCAAAATATCCCATCAAGCCCTACAGACCCTTTCCTGGGGAAGGCTTAATAATAATATCCTCACCAATTGGTACAGGTGAACACAGACCCAAACCCTTGGATCTTAAGAACAATGAAAAAGCAATCAGGTTCTTAAAAGAAGAATTTTAATTAAAGAAAAGGTAAAAGAATCACCTCTGTAAAATCAGGATGGTAAATACCTTACAGGGTAATCAGATTCAAAACATAGAGAATCCCTCTGGGCAAAACCTTAAGTTATAAAAAGACACAAAAACAGGAATATACATTCCCTCCAGCACAGCTTATTTTACAAGCCATTAAAGAAAAGAAAATCTAACGCATTTTCTAGCTAGATTACTTACTAACTTTACAGGAGTTGTAAGGCTGCATTCCTGATCTGTTCCCAGCAAAAGCATCACACAGACAGACCAAACCCTTTGTTCTCCCCCCCCCACCCCCAAATTTGAAAGAATCTTGTCCCCTCATTGGCCATTTTGGGTCAGGTGCCAGCGGGGTTACCTTAGCTTCTTAACCCTTTACAGATGAAAGGATTTTGCCTCTGGCCAGGAGGGATTTTATAGCACTGTATACAGAAAGGTGTTTACCCTTCCCTTGATATTTATGACAGTAGCAATGAAGGGAGAGATGATTTGGGCTTCTGTTCCCCATTCTTTATACTTTTATTTTTCTTTGAGAATCATCTCCAACTGAGGTTCAAGAGACAGCAAGTCTGTGGGGATAGGACTCTCCAACTGTTTCTTTGCCAAAATGTAGATTTCTTGCTCACACCTTTTTACCTACCAAAGAATGGCCGCTTAACCAGGTGATAGTCCATTTGATTTTATTAACAGGTGACAGAGGCGTCAGTTTGGATTTTGTCTCTGAGGAACTGGTTTGTGCCTGCTTTTCTAAACTTGGAGCATGTCTCAGCAATATCATACCACAGAATTTTATAACTTTACATACAATGTTGCCACACACATTTACCAGGACAATAATGATCAGCAAATTATGAGTTTTCAAATGATACCTCAGAAGGCATACTTTGTACAAAACTTATCATAGTCTTGTAAAAGGGGTAAACATAAGGGTACAGACCATAACAGGGATATTAACATCCTCTCCTTGTCAATGGTTGATTGTAACACACTAACCCATCACATTCAGAGTAGTTCCATTGCAGCCTCCTAGGCCTGGAGGAAGGAGGCAGCCATTTTGGTATTTTTGAAGGAGCCTAAAGGAGTTAGGCACCCAGCTCCTTTTGAAAATCCCAGCCTTCTTCTCCTGTGCCCAAGCTGCTGGTGTACAGACAACAGAATAACCTGAGGAGAGGAGATGGGGAGGGGGAACGCTGTAACAAAGGACTCACCATCCCAGCAGTAACCACTGGTTCATGTCACCTGGTAATTAGCTGCTGGCAGTGCCTGGCACTGACCTCATGCTTCAGAGAATGGCAAATTTATTTTAGCAGTTCTCATAGGAAGAAATATTCCTTCCCAAGCGGGTGGTCAGCTTGTAATGGTCACACCGACTCACCTGACCAGTGTTGACGCTTATGTGCGTAGAGCATCCATTTTAGGGCTTTAGATTTTCTGATCATCTCTGGTTTCAGAGTAGCAGCCATGTTAGTCTGTATCCACAAAAAGAAAAGGAGGACTTGTGGCACCTTAGAGACTAAAAGGCTTTAGTCTCTAAGGTGCCACAAGTCCTCCTTTTCTTTTTGCTGATCATCTCTAACATCCAGCTAACATGCAGAGTGTAGAACTTCACCCATTGATTCCTGCATCAAGCCAAATAGACTGTGGTTGCACTAGAGAATCTCTGCATTGCCTTGTTCTTGCTGACATAACCAGATAAGACTTTAAAAATGGTTCTGATGAGTTCCTGTAATAGAATTCCACAGGGTGAATACTTCCCCCCAAGAAGTATTGTCTTCTTCCTACAGGACTGTCACTTTAATTGAGCTCCCCCTTTCTCTTGTGTTATGGGACTGGACACAAGGGAATGTCTAGTTGGTTTTTCAGTCAGCTTTTCACCGTTTGGAATGGGAGGGAGGAGAAAAGCAGAGAAAATGAGGATAGGAGAGAGAGCAGCAAGAATACCACAGCTGTTTAGAATTCAAGCTCTCAGTCATCCTCAGATAGGATCTATTCTGCCAGATGGTGTTGTGAATTGATTCCACTGTGACAAGGGCTAATAGAGCTCTGCCTCTCAGCACACCCGGGAGGAGAGGAGAGCTATTCT